GGGCCAACATTATCGGACAGGAAAAGTAGGCAACTGAAGTAGGCGGCATAAGGCGAATTCTTCTATAACTACTGTACTTGTCAGCACCAAAATTATGTGTGAGTACCACCACTGTACCTTTGGGTTTGCTAGATGGATTTGCCTCGACGAGGGCTGTCAAAAAGCCCATCTTGATCGTTTTCACAGTGGCTGCACGGGTTGCAAATCGAACATCTTGGAACCTTGTACATGTAGATAACCAAGTGAATAATGATGACTGATGATGACAAGTCAAAGAGTAGCAAAGTTCCAGTCATGGTCAGGGTAGCTTGGAAATATCTGCTGAGCTCTGGTCTGAAAAACACAAGCAACGACGAGCGAAGAAGAAGGTTACACAACAACAAGTACTGTCATTAACTGTGGGGTTTCTGCTGATGATGTCATAGCTCAGTCAATAATGGTCCGATTTAGAAACTGTAAATTGTAATCTTTATATCTTATCGCATGCTACATCCTATGCAAGTTTCATTAAACTTGAATAAATCTCGGATTTTATACGTCTGATCCATGCCACCGAGACGCCTCTGGATGAGGGAGGGAGGGATCCTGCGTTAAATTGGCATAAAAAGTTAACATATTATTTGAAGACATTTCAACATAGGAAACAAATAAAATTTACTGTTATGGAGTATATATATAGCTGCAAGTCTGCAGTATGGTTTAAATTAACCTTATAGATATTGAACCCATCAAATCTAACTGTGGGAGCTTGCCTATTCTCTTGACTGTAATGGCAAAACTTTGAAGGTGGGTCCATCGTCCCTTGATTTTGACTTTGCCCCCCCCCCGGGAAAATTTCTGCAGATGCCCATGCTTCCAGATCTAAAACTACCATTCAACTAGTCAACACCACCCACCGCCAACTCTTGGGCTACTCATTTACCAACGAATAGTGGGATTGACTGCCATGTTATAATGCTTCCATGGCTAAAAGGGCAAGCATATTCAGGTAAGGGATTCAAACCCACAAGCCGCAGATAGTGAACCGAGCATCCTAACCACCAAGTTATAGAAGACCTTTATAGAAAGGTACTTTCTCCTAAAAAGCAGAAAACCAAAGAAAGAAAAGTTACATTGAATTAGAGTATTCTTCATTTATTCAAAGCAAACCTACTAAGGCTATCTGCTGCTGTTACAAAGTTTGAACTGCTGACCAGGAGGAAGGCAACTGGCTGGCAGAATCCACTGCCAACTTTTAGACTACTCATTACCAATGAATAATGGCTGAAAGATGAGCATGTTCGATGCTGGGTCGAAACCCGGCAACTTGAAGATTGTGAGGGTGCTTAGGTTCTTGGATAAATACTACCATTAAAAGAAAAATAATTTACTCTCCACATTTCAGCAATTTAATATAAAACCTGAGGATACTGATTTTTATTACAAGCTGAAGGTGAGGAGTTAGTTGTTGTGCTCTGACCCTCATTTTGCCAATTTTTATAATTTTTTTTTCTAATGTTTCACATGACATACATTTTTATTTAAAAAGTCTATTACAGGATAAGACTTGAGTGTTTTTAGAGGTTTTGCCTTTTCATGGCAGTGTAGACTGCAAATTAAAATTTCATTATTTTTATGTAGCTTTTATGATTTGTCTTCAGATGATTGCATAATATATTTTCTGAATATTAGATTTAAGTATGATTACAGCTCCTGATTCTATGTGTTACAAAAGCAAAAATATTAAGGCCTTTTTCTTGCAAAATGTTATCTTCAGTAACTTTAAAGTATTGTTAGTTTTTCTTTGCAAATTTATATTATTCAGATCATCAATAACAAATTTAACAACTACAGCAGGTCCATCACAACAAATAACCTAACTACAGCAAGCCCATTAACAACAACAAATAACCTAACTATAGCAAGATGACCATTTGTGAGATAGCGATTTCTAGTTGTTGTTGTTTTTTTTGGCTATGGTTTTATCGTTCGTTTATTATTCCTTCTTTCGTTTACTTTGTCTATGAAATTTTAGTTACATTAAAATGTTAATTCACCTTCTAGCTGATTATGAAACTGATATCAGCTTCCCTAGCGGGTGACATACAGATATTATTAATGTAGCAAAATATTATGTAAATTTATGATCACATGAGATGTACTCTCATGACCTAATGGAGTGAATAAATACTTTGCCATAAGCTTTATAAACTGAGTCATGAGATAGTTAGTGAACAATATAGTTAATGAATTACTGCTGTTTGTCACTTGATATTGTTATTAATATAGAAAAGTGATTTTAGAATGTTGTGTTTTTTTTGGAATAAGGGTTTTCCTTCTGATTCCATTATTTGAAATAACTGTCACAATCCTTATAATGATCTATAACTACTGTACCATGATATCTGAACATTCGCTGTCACAATTTTGTAATGGTCTGTAACTATTGTATTACAATCTCTGAACAACCACTGTCACAATCCTTATAGTGATCTATAACTACTGCCCCATGATATCTGAACATTTGCTGTCACAATTTTTGTAATGGTCTGTAACTATTGTATTACAATATCTGAACAACCACTGTCACAATCCTTATAGTGATCTATAACTACTGCCCCATGATATCTGAACATTTGCTGTCACAATATTTGCAATGGTCTGTAACTAATGTACTACAATATCTGAATACATGTATTCAATGCCCATAATCGTTCCATGCTTCTCTGACTAGTGATAATGAAAATTCAGTTCCCATACTCTTTGCAGTCTTCTATAGTTATTGCAAAAGATAAACATTTATTGTCCATAGTCTTTGTTATGTCATTGTATCTAAAACATGGTTGAATATTCATTGTCCTAACTTATTTAGTATTGTTTTACTATTACAGCAAACATAGTCTTTGTTATAAATAATCCATTCAGTAATCAGTCTTTGTTATAACTTCTATGTTACTGAATATTGTGTAGTAACAATTCATAACAGCTATAATGTTGAATACCATGCCTATAATCTTTGTAATAAACAACTGATATGCTAATGAACATTGTGCCCATTGATACAGTATTAGTTAGTAACAGATATGATGTTGAATACTGTGTCTATAGTTTGTAAACTGCTACACTGTTGAATATTGTGTCTATACCTTTATACAGTTGCTTTGAATTTTGTATCTATTATAACTGTAGTATAACTATTAAATATATATGAAGTAGCACAATCAGTTATTATTCTTTATAGTCCTCTTTAGTTGCTGTAATGTTTAAACTTTAGTGTTGAGATCATCTATAGCTAGTAAGGTATTGTACACTGAATGTCCATAATATCAGTAGACTTGTAAGTACAATAATTTTTATCTTTCAGTTTTTTCATTCACAGCTTCTAAAATTTTTAAACATTTTGTGTCCACAATCTTTAGTGTTTTATCAAGATTTTGAGCACTGTTGTCCACAATCTTTAGTTTTTTGTTATCAAGATTTTGAACATTGTTGTCCACAATCTTTAGTGTTTTGTTATCAAGATTTTAAACATTTTGTATCCATAATCTTTAATGTTTTGTTATCAAGATTTTGAACACTGTTGTAGCAGTTTTATTACAAAACTGAATATTCAGTTTCCATAGCTCTTGGAACTTTTATGATTTTCAACATCCAGTGTCCATGGCACTTGTTGATTTTCAACATCAAATGTTCACAGCATTTGTCAATTTTCAACATCAAGTGTTCATGGCATTTCTTGATTTTCAACATCCAGTGTCCATAGCACTTGTTGACTTTCAACATCTAGTGTCCTTGTCATTTCTTGATTTTCAACATCAAATGTTCATAGCATTTGTCAATTTTCAACATCAAGTGTTCATGCATTTCTTGATTTTCAACATCCAGTGTTCATGCATTTCTTGATTTTCAACATCCAGTGTCCTTGTCATTTCTTGATTTTCAACATCCAGTGTCCTTGTCATTTCTTGATTTTCAACATCAGATGTTCTTAGCATTTGTCAATTTTCAACATCAAGTGTTCATGCATTTCTTGATTTTCAACATCCAGTGTCCTTGTCATTTCTTGATTTTCAACATCAAATGTTCATAGCATTTGTCAATTTTCAACATCAAGTGTTCATGCATTTCTTGATTTTCAACATCCAATGTCCTTGTCATTTCTTGATTTTCAACATAGCATTTGTCAGTTTTCAATATCAAGTGTCCATGTCATTTCTTGATTTTCAACATCAAGTGTTCATGACATTTGTCAATTTTTTAACACCTATGATGCGTGTGATTTGTGATGTACTATAAGTTCTGTACTATCAATCAGTACTATTAGGTATGTCATTTAACATTAGTGTTGATAGCTTTTATAGTCCCTTGATGTTAGATGTTTGCTGTAACTACTAAGATGTTGATAATTCAGTTTCCATCACATCTGTACGTAATATGATTTGGAAAATTCAGTCAAGTATAAGAAATTATTTAAAGGACCATATTCACACATGCTCGCTACTTTATGTTTGATACTAATATTCCAATGAGAAAAAAAACAAACAATATTGAAAACTTTAACGAATATGATATACAACTGTTTCAGTTTAGCAGAGATGTAAATATAAACGGTGACGTTTTCATCACCAATCATATTGAAAAAACATACTTTTAACATTTTAGATCTTTAACAGTCAAACCTAAATAGAGTAGAACATTTTGAACCTACTTCACATGTTATTTTACTGAATGAAATAAATAAAACTACATATTTAAAAGAAAATCAGAGTTAAATTCCAAGAAAAAATCAACAAAACATTCAGAAAATGCTGCATGCGAATAGCAAACTCCACTGACTAACTGGTGCAACAGACAGGAACATAAATTTCAACTTATATGTTTTAACTGACAAGTGCTGGTTTTGATTTGTCTACAGTGAGTGTTGTGTGTGTGAGAGAGAGATCAATATTATAACAGTATTACAATCAATTATAAAAACATCTGTATTTAGTTTCACATTATTTAACCAAGCCTCCACACCCTTCCTTTGAAGTTTTTATTTATCACTCATACATTTCATTGATAATTCAACATCAGATTTAAAAACACTATTATGTCTGAGTATTAAGTTTTTAACTTGCATACTTTTAATTTGTTTTAAACACTATTACATATATATCTATGAAGATTCAAACAAATACAAGTTCAATCAAAGACAGCAAAGTTTATATTAGTTGTAATAAACTGTTTTAAAAATTCATATAACATATTTCAGTTATTGAAATATATTACACATTTTGAACAGAATTACAGAAATCTTTAACATCATCATACACAGCTGTTAAATTTTGTTGTAGTAGATTGTGACATGATTATGACACAACAAAGTCACACTCACAGAAACTTGGACCATTTCCAGGTTGTACACGAAGTCCACGCCTGATAAAATAATAATTTTTTATGTATTATTTTTGTAAAAGAAGACTTATAATTGTACAACAATCCTAATTGATATTAATAAAGATGAGTAATAATTATATAAACTATGCTAGAGGAAAGCTCTCGGAGATCATGAACTAAATTGTGATAATTATTGTGGGAGGGGGGGGGGAGTCTTATACATAGCTCGACTTAATATAAAGACATTTTATTTTTGATAGTTACAGATCAATTTTGATAGGATGTGATTCATTAAATAGATGTTTGGACACTTTCCCAGAGTTGAAAGAAGATTTGTTTATCAGATCGTGTATAAATAAGTACAACATTCTCCATTAGTAACAAGATGGGCACAGATGTAAAGAAAATATTGTTCATTTGAGGCATAATGGGAGTCACAAAAATCTTGAAGATTTTTTTTAAATATGCAGCATTAGGCTTCTGCTTTCCTCAAAAGTTAAGCATCTACTGTTGTCATATCTACCACTCAAATGATGAGTCATAGAGTTACAGAAAAGAATGTAGTACAACAATAAATAAATCCACATGAGACAATGGAACAAGATACAAGAATGTATGAAGAAATAACTTAGATGATAAATGTATAAAATATACCGAGATATATAGTACAACAATAAATAAACCCACATGAGACAATGGAATAAGATACAAGAATGTATGAAGAAATAATTTGGATGATAAATGTATAAAATATACCGAGATATATAGTACAACAATAAATAAACCCACATGAGACAATGGAATAAGATACAAGAATGTATGAAGAAATAACTTGGATGGTAAATGTATAAAATATACCGAGATATATAGTACAACAATAAATAAACCCACATGAGACAATGGAACAAGATACAAGAATGTATGAAGAAATAACTTGGATGGTAAATGTATATAAAATATACTGAGAAATTAGTGAAATTAAAGGTTACATAAAAATTTTTATACTTAATAGTAAACTAAAAATTAATACATTTATCTAAATATTAGAAAACATTTAAAACTGTTAAATAGCTTTGTAAAAAGGCAAAACAAAGGAACCAGTTAAGGCTTCAATGGCAATTTATCAATTCTCATCATGAAATATATCTATAAATAGACATAGATATATGGAAATCATAAAATATTTTTTATCTCTAATCAAACAACCTTTATAAATTTCCTATCTTATATTTCATTAAAATTTCAAGCTTATATGGTTATCTTGTTGCTAATGCAAAAACTTGAATAAAATGTTCATCTGTTGCTTCAATCTGCATGACATTTTTAATGTCTTGAACATGTTTGTAAAATCCCCCACAGCTGGTTTCTCCAAATATACATATGGAGAAAGACACTGTGCACATTCCATCACACTTGTTATGGAACAAACCTCATCAAAACAGCTCCTCCTGCATAACATGTTTTCCAAGTGCAAACGCGCTGAGGTTAAAAAGCAGAGCAAACAAGCAGTTGTTATAAATTTTTTCCAGGGTTTTAAACTAGTCAAATTTTAGGCTTGATTTTCTAATAGCATTACAGAACCAAGTAGATACATTGTCATCTACGTACAGTACGACCCCAAGTGGTACACTCTTAGACATGTTTTTCTTTGGAAATTTTATGCAGTTGCTAGTAGAATCATAGTGGTTAAACAACTTTAAAACATTGTTAAAAAGCCAACAATTAAAAAGAAAATGTTCAAAATGTTCTCTAACAGCTACTTTTCCTTGTTTAGTGTTACAAGTTTTATTCAAATTGCCCAAAAAGTAACTCTGCATTCAACAGAAGGACAATGAAAAGCCTCAGTATGTAGGATAACAGGTTTTCTGTATGATTTTCGCGACTAATGCATCGTTTTCAGTAGTAATCAAAATTATGAAAGATAGTGATCTTGTTTCAGAATAAGTACGAGTATAAATTTAATATAAGGGCTAAAAATGTTTAAGAAAAAAGACATCAACATCAGTATTGGTGTCAGGTTGTTTTCACATTTACATTGTGTAATGACACCTTTTTCTTCTAACAAGTGCATCAAAATTATGGCCATACATAGCAACATCTTCAGTTTGTTTATAAAGCATTCTTTTGAATTGAAAATAGCTGTTAATTAGAATATCATAGGAAATGTTTTGAGATACTCCCTCATAGTTTCATACACAATTTTGTGATCACCTACTACTTTATAAGTAAGCCACAAGTACTAGGGAATGAATGGATATTAAAAAGAGTTCTTAACTCTTTAATTACTGGAGTATGATTGTGCCCATAGCTTTAAAAACTTACAGTGTAGTTTTCAGAATACATTACATTTCAAGTTCAGAAATGGTGGAACTGAGACTTTAAAACAATTATTTATTAAGACTGTTTCTAAGTTAAGAAATAATCAGTATGATTTTGGACTTTTAATTAGCATAATTACAATCAAAATCATGTAGTATTATCTGCACATCATACTAGGAAAAATACTTAGTTTTACCTGAAATTCTTTTATAAAATACAAACATCGACCCTGACCTTCAACTTGATATTTTAAAACAGCATATTTGATACATTTAACTTAATTAAATGTTATAAAATGACAAACTGTTAATTTTTAAGTAAAAATTGTTGAAATACAGCTAGAATTATTATTTTTACTTAAATTTTGAAATAAGATATGCAGTTGTGAACTCAATGCTTGAAAGGTACTCACCATTCTGAAAAGGGTTAATTAAAGCATAAGACAATCGTCTACTTTGGAATATTTTGGAAATGTATGGTTAAATTAAGTTATTTTGATCAATTATTTACTTTAATTTTAAACACCCTGAAAACATAAAGAATCTATTTTCAATTATATACAATATGTCATAAAATATCAACTGATATTTGAATGTACTCTTACTTCAACATACGGCAACGATGCTCTTCAAAACGTGGAGCTGCTTTGTCTGCATCCTTAAGGTCAGCCACACTCCAAAGACGCTCTGCAACTGCTGCAGCTCTGGGCCTTTTAGAAAAAAAATTTCCAAAATTTTTTTTTATCTTAACATCTTTTACGTTTATTTTCTTTTAACTGTTTCCAGATAATACTTGTTTATCCTATATTTGAAGCTACAAAGTTTTCCACCCACTTTGTTTTAATTTTTAACACATCACATACAAAAAACAATAATTACTTGATAATCAGGCAAGTTTGTTTTGAGAGTTCTAATTTTCACGTAGCCAGGGTTAAACCACCTTTACTCTGTAATACATCACGATTAATTACATGTATAAGAGAATTATGGAAACCTTATATTCTGCAATACATAATCTTTCACTGACTAATGTATATAGTCTTAAGAAATTGGTTGTTTAGTTCTGTATTTAATGGAAAAATTAAAAACTGATAGAATAATGCAGCTTTTTATCAATAAGTTTACAAAACATATGTAACCACTTGCTTTTAGATACAAATAAAAAGATTTTTTTTCAGCCACAAGAAGAGTACTTTGTTAGCCTCTGTTTTTGCTATTTTCTGGATTTCTACAATGATGTTTATCAAACAGGTACTTTTAAGCTAAACAGTTAAGAGAGAAGAGATCTGGCAAAAATACCAAGAATGCTAATCCCCTTGTATGATTTTCTTGAAATTTTAATTTTCCAGAACTGTATGCTAACAAATGCATCTAAACATAAAAGATATACCTTCTGTAAATTTTGTCAGTAGTTTATCTGTTTTTATAGAAAACACTTTTTATATTATCATGTTACTTTCGCTTTAGTACACATAGCCAATAACTCAACGTTGTATGTTTGATTCTTTAGCAGAAAACATTTACTTTAATCAGTACTTGTATATTTATAAAAATATCACAGATTCTTAAGATATTGATGTTAAATAAGTGTCAACAACAGCTTAAAAGCTAAGCCTAGTTTTCAAAATCTGAAGCTTGTGAAAAAATCAATATTGATACCAAAACTTTCTTTGTAACCTAAGGATCCAAACTACAGATTGTTTCAAAATTAATATTCAATTTAAAATAGAATATAGTTTTTGGTATAGCATCATTATAAAACTAAAATTATACAATTTTTTTTCCCTAGAATGATTACTTTAACTGGAAATGAATATCCCTTATTGCTACTTTTGAAAACATTTTCATGAACAGCAGCATCAGATAAAATTCAAGCTGAACTCTGGCAAACAGTGACATCATTCTACTTATAGAACATTACCAATATTAAACTTGTGTCTATGACTACTTATAATTTAAGAACGTCAAACTACGTGGCAAGAGTATAAGAACACAAATTCTGTAACCTACCAGGTACGAGATATCAAGTTTGTTCCATCTACAAACTCCCCCCACATGCAGACTTCTCCTCCCATGATCAGACTCTTCTGGTATTCTGTGCCTTAAGTAGAAATATACAGATTAAAATAACTTTTACTTTAAACAAGTCTATTTTAAAGTATAAATGTGAGCATGCATTTTACTAACCAGTATTAAGTATGTTTGTTTGTTATAGATTTCGCTCAAAGCTACACGAGGGCTATCTGCGCTAGCCGTCCCTAATTTAGCGGTGTAAGACTAGAGGGAAGGCAGCTAGTCATCTCTACCCACTGCCAACTCTTGAGCTACTCTTTTACCAATGAATAGTGGGACTGACCGTCACATTATAATGTCCCCCTGGCTGAAAGGGCGAGCATGTTTGGTGTGACGGGGATTCGAACCTGCGACTCACAGATTGCGAGTCGAGCGCCCTAACCACCTGACCATGCCGGGCTACAGTACTAAGTAACAGTAGAGGAGCATATATTTTACTAACAAGTATCACGTAATAATGTGTGAGAATCCACTTTATTAACGGCTATTATGTAATCGTGTGAGAATCCACTTTATTAACGGCTATTATGTAATCGTGTGAGAATCCACTTTATTAACGACTATTATGTAATCATGTGTGAGAATCCACTTTATTAACGACTATTATGTAATCATGTGTGAGAATCAATTTTTTATTAATGACTATTATGTAATCATGTGTGAGAATCAATTTTTTATTAATGACTATTATGTAATCATGTGTGAGAATCAATTTTTTATTAATGACTATTATATAATCATGTGTGAGAATCAATTTTTTAACAAGTATTATGTAATCATCTGTGAGAATCCACTTTATTAACGACTATTATGTAATCATGTGAGAATCCATTTTTTTTAACAAGTATTATGTAATCATGTGTGAAAATCAATTTTTTAACAAGTATTATGTAATCATGTGTGAGAATCCATTTTATTAACAAGTATTATGTAATCATGTGTGAGAATCCACTTTATTAACAGTTATTATGTAATCATCTGTGAGAATCCATTTTATTAACAAGTATTATGTAATCATGTGTGAGAATTCACTATATTAACAAGTATTACATAATGATATGTGAGAATCCATTTTATTAAGAAGTAAGTATCATGTAATAATGTGTGAGAATCAATTTTATTACCAAATATCATGTAATGATGCGTAAATATGCATTTTACTGATAAGTATTATGACAATGTAAACCTTTAATTAGGATTTCCTTTGTTTTTGTTTCATCATTCAAAAAAAAAAGAAAAAAGAAAATCTTATAATGATTTATAGATTCTTGATATCATGAACTTCTTAATTTTGCGATCACAACTGGCTGACTCAAGCATAATTATCCAAAAAAGTATCTTATATCAACCAACAACTATATATTATTATACATATAACTAAAAATAGTTAATGATGAAGTATTCATATGTATCCACAGAGAGTTTTAATATTTTGTAATTCAAGAAATTTGATTACAATATCCCACAAAAAAAACAACTTGATTTTTTGCTCTCAATAACTGAGATGTAATATAATCAGAAGACACAAAACAGTTTTAAAGTACCATTGAATTCCTGTGGATCACAAGTATAGTACTTTGGCCAGTCTTTTCCATAGCTGATGTAATTCAGATACCAACAAGTGGACAGAAGTGTCTTGTAACCCATGGATGTGACTCTCTGTAACTCCTGTACCTGAGGATCCTTCCAGACATGAACAACAGTGTTGGGATCAACCTGAAAAAAAATTTCAGATAAATTGATTGATTGATTGCAGTAACTAAACTGCATCAAGTTACATTCCATTCTTCCACACTACCCCTTAGTAAAGAATATCTTATAGATCCTGGTAACTAACATGAATGGTATGTGTTTTATTTGATTCTAACATTAGTTGGACTGTACAGCTTACTTGTATACAGAATTTATTTATGCATAAAAAACAAAATCTAATAGTTAGAGCCAATGATTAAAACTAAGTTAGTCTGAACTAACCTAATATTTATTAAGCTGTACAAGTGTCTCAACCAAAAATGAAAGGTGTTCAGAAAGATCACATGTTAATGTAAACTTGAAAAAAAACTGGACGAAAATATGTTTCAAAGCAATCGACAGAGTAAACATTTTTATCAGTAACATCCTTTGTGCAATATATATATCAATTCATAATTCTTTGGAACAGAGTAGAGTTTCATGATAAGTCTTTCCTTCATTCTTTTTCCCAGTTCCCATTTAAACAGAACCAAATTAAATGTGGTATGAAGTATGTCTCCTCCCAATAAGATAAAAAAAAACAAGCATGGAATAGTAATACTAATAGCCACAAGCTGTGATTTTTCATTCCAAAATCAGATCCCCAAGTCCATCTGTTCTTTCCTTCTTTAACATTTTATTCATGTTCTGATCCAAACATGCAACAAAAATCTCAGATTCACTTCACTTTATCAGTAGATGAACTATCCATATCAAAATCATTAGAAGAGACCTGAATTGTACAAACTTGCCATTGTAACCCTGGTTGTCATCAGAGAAAGTTAGATGGCATTCACGCCTGTGTACCAAGATCAACAAAACATGGCCAACATAGGAAAGACCAGCCTCAGAAAGTATATGTGTGGGTATGTATGATTTTGTGGAACAAAGTAAAAAGTAAGCCATGAAAAACTTCATCTTACTTATGGCAGAAGTAAAACAAAACCAGTGATCTTTAATTGGTATCTCATATTTCATGATAGCATCTCAGATTATTTTCCCCAAATGGGATCTTACTAGTCTGAAGGAGAATCTTAGGGAGAAGTCTTCCATTAAGGACTGAATGCGTCCCAAGGGACCAGCAATGAGCTACCAACTTGGTAAGCTTTTTAAACAGACATAAACGTATACCAAAATTACACTCAGGATTGTGATGACCAATGGAGAATTACACTCGAGATTGTGATGATTGATGGAGAATTAAGCCCCGAGATTGTGATCACTCATGAAAGTAATCAGAAATGGGTAAAATTATTAGACACTGCAATAAAGAAAATCTTGCAAGATATGGGATGCACTCCACAAAATGACTTGTTAGCTTGCACTGATTGGTAGTTAATAAATCAATTTTTTGTTTTTCACCATACAAAATTAACAGGAACTGATATTTCACTCAAGATTAAATGAACTTACATATGAAAGGTGGACAAAATAGATGGCTAAATGATATGTTCCATCACAGATACAAGAATATAATAACACTTAACAATCCATTCTGAAAGTAATGACAATATAATGGTTTTCATAATTTATCCTTGATTTTGTAGTCATTTTCAGTGCAATGCTAAAATTTGTCTCAAAGCCTCAGCCTAATCAGGTTTGGTACTAAACAGAAAAATCAATGGAATTTGTCAACGACCTTGCTTCTGACAAACATTTCCATGCAGACTAGTATCTACTGTCAAAAAATATGCTCAAATTTGTCAATAAAGCAGCACAACATTAGTCAAAGATCTTTGCATTGACCAACGAGTTGCATTCAATACTTTGAGCATTGAGACACAAATAATATCTGGACAAAGTTTATAACAAACAAGCATAAAAATAAAAAGTCCAACCTGTGTTACTTAAACCTTTGAAGAGACCTTGACTTTACGGAAATCTCAGAAATGCAAATAGCTATAATAATAATAATGTCTACATGAGGAAAAAGAAAAGGGAAGGTATTTACAAAGTGGCACTAAACACAACTAGAGAATTGTGAAACGGAAACACTACTGTGTTACTTAAACCTTTGAAGAGACCTTGATATTTACTATAATCTTATTTGACTAAAACAGCAAAATCACTAATGCATTGACTTTGACTCTCGATTGATCTGTACAATAGTTTTTTGTTTAGTAATCTGGACTTTTAATGAGCAACAAGAACCAAAATACAAAAACAACTTTAATTTCTTTGTTACTATGACCATTCACCTTAACAAACATCTTATACTTTAAGAACAATTACATGCATGATCCGGGAGCTATAACTGAAATGAGTTTTGTAATAAATAAGCAATAAATACACCTGTATGTGACACTTGACTTTTGAAACCATTCTAACTTTATGAGCTACAAAGATACGAGGACTATAACATCACAACTCTGTCATTACAATCTATAAAGTTAAAGTTCATATCCTCATAAATTTACTGTTGTATACATAGACATACTTCGTGTTATATCCTTTATTTAGGAAACACGCCTAAGATAGTGAAAGTCTTTAGCAAACTGTAGAATATAACTACAAATGGGGCCACCTTCCAAGAAATGTCTAAGTTCCAAAGTAACATTTCTAAAAAAATTGTCCAATTAAGTTTCACTATGGGATAAGCAAATTTCATTGAGTTCCTTAATGAGATTGGTTTAAAAATGCTGTTGAAGGAACTGACTGCACAGTGTACATTTTTTCAACATTTTGGAATAAAAAAAGCAAATGAAACAACAAATACAGCAAGTAACATTTTAACTGTTAAAGTTATGCCTTGGATGAAGTCTAGAATGAAACATATGATGTCTGACTAGTACAGTCCAATAAACACCATACCTATACAGAACGGTTTTTACACATGGTATTACTCCTTTAAATTTAAAAGAAAAAAAAGAACAAACACTTCTTTTTAAACTGGTTTAATTAAGTTTAATCTTCATAAGCTAGTTTTTGCAATTATACTTTCCTTGTAGAGATACCTTATGCATTAAACACTAGTTTGAAAACAGATAACATTTAGTACAGAAGTCATAATGTCTGCTAACTTACTTTGACACCATTGTCTACAACTTCCTGCCAAATGGTGTAGCTCTTTTTTAGGGACTGAAGAATATTGACCAGTCTGTTGCAAACAATCAAGTAGAAAATTACTTAGTTTGGTGAAATAAAGTAAGAGTAGCATAATGGAAACTGCATTTATTACAAATTATTTTAGTTTAATCCAAACAGATGAAGATGCTTTGCTCTTATGCAGTGGTACAAATAGTTGTTATCTCCAATTTATCCTCAATTAATGAAATTAATTTAAGCCACTTATTGGCCCTCATAAACATTTAATTATAGGATAAAGTGAAATTGTCATCAATACTTCAAACTCAATTTTTAATAAATAAATCATCTATAAATTAATTTTTTATCACTTTATCAACCTTAATGTTACTCTTGGTATTGTTGTCAAAAAACTTGTATTTATTTATAATTTAAAAATTACAATTATTAAAATTTCAAATTGTGAAATTTATGAAACAGATAATATTTCAAAATCATTTGTCTTCAAAAATTCAACAATCAAACAACAATTCACTCTTTCTAGTTTTTCAATTATTAATAAGTGATAATTTTGGTACAGTATGCGATTACAAGATCAAACTTTGACATTCTTCAATATAGTTTCAACAATACTGTTTGAAAGAACATAATACAGGCACTCTTAGTCAATGTCACAGAGAGTAATGTGGGATGTAAAAAACATTCAGCATCTATCATGAAAAGAAATAGGTCAGGATCTGAATAATCCATTCCAGCATCAAAAACATAACAAACAAACTGCCAATCACTGTTTTGAGTACTATAGGTCTTAGGAAAGAAGGTATGACCTGGATAGTATAGCAGGTGGTCCTCCTGCTAAACCAAGCAGGGAGCATCTGCAGAAATCTTTCCATTTGGGGGGTGGGGCAAAGTCAAAATCAATGGACGACTGATGGACCCGCCTTCAAAGTTTTACCATTACAGTCAAGGCAAGCTCCCACAGTTATATTTGATGGGTTTAATATCTATAAGGTTAGTTTAAACCATACTGCAGACTTGTAGCTATATATACTCCATAACAGTAAATTTTAGTTGACTCTGACCACACTATTTCATGGGATGTCTGCAAGACTGCATCAGTCTCTTTCATAACCTGCTGCTGGTATTACCGGAAGGAGGCAACAGGTTGACTTTGATCACACTATGTCAAAGCTCAGAGGATGTTGGTAAGACCATGTCGGTTTCTTTGATGACCTGAGTAAGCATTGTCATGTCCAATATCCAAGAATCTCCTATCTAATTTTAAGTACTGTTTAGGACCAACTTTCATTTCACGTGCGACATACATACATAGTCAATGAAAAGGCATGGCCAGGTTATGTGTGCAAATTTGAATAAGCACAAGTTTCTTAAACACCGGTATTAGTGTGACCAGTGGTGTAGGAAGGAGTTGCAAAGTGGGTTTGCTTGGTTGGACATTCAGATTTTACAATGAGAGATTAAAAGTTTAAGGCAGCTCAATCTAGACTAGGCAAAGGCAGGGAGGTCTCGGAGCATGCCCCCCAGAAAATTAATATAATAATATAATTTACAGTTGCTATACAAGTTAAATACGTAAAAGTGGGAGTGCTACTGCACCCCCAGTTTCGATGCCTCTGAGCGTGACATTCCATATGTACCAATATGACAATGCATTTTCACAATTTTCTAAGAGCATGAGTAATACACAAACATTAATTACCATAAGCACAAGTTGTCAAAGATGTGATATCCAAGCCATGAAGGTTTGAGTTTGCACAAGTGCTACTTTGAATAAGAGCAAAATAAACTGTTCTACACAATATATGCAAGACTGGCTAATACTATATTTGTTACAAATGCAAACGTATTTTTGCACTTGTGAGATTCTACATGACCAAGAATTATCAAAACACGTAAAAACTTGCATAAAACTGACTATTCACTAATCAGAACACCCCAGTTGTTAAATTACGTGGCTTTCTGTTGGCTTTGCTACCTGATGAACTTTTTATTATTAAATTTCCCCTCATATTTTTATTGTCCAAGCAGAGACATAGGCATAGCTAAGTTTCCAATGGCCTTTTATTTTTTCCAGATCTTTACTTATAAAAGGGAGAATTACATTGTTCAAGCAAAAATAGTTAGCAAAAAAAAAAAGCCATTGTTAAATATCTGTGTGCATTTTAAACATTTACTAAGCTTAGAACACGCTCCATTTAATCCATTGCAAAACTTTTTCAATCTTGGCAAAATCATCTTACAATTTATAGCAAAATTTAGTGTTTCCGATTTGACAAATTTCAAAGGCATTAAAGAAGCAGTCACTTTGTTTGTTAGTTGTTAAGTGTACAGCTACACAATGGGCTATCTGTGATGTGCCTATCACGGGTATCCAAACCCAGTTTTCAGCATTATAAGCCAACTGAATTATATGGGCTAGCCTAAAGCTACACAAGTTCAAGCTTAAATGGCACAAGAGCTACAAATGAACACTTCTCTAGTATTATGGTTAACGTGAAAATAAATATTATTAAAAGTTGTAAAACTGAAAGCTATTTTCAGTTTATAAATTTACACAGCAATACGAGTATTTTGAAATAACTTTTAAGTAATTATAAAAAGATAAAAATAAAATTCATAAAAAAAACTAATTGCATATCTTGTTTTATAATGTGTGTGTGTGTAGTAATATCAAGTTGAACCACCTTTTCTGCACAAAATGACTTAGTCAGGTTGAAATTTGATTATTGTTCTGACCAAGCATGATGACTGAAATTACTTTTATTTGTTTGTAGTTAAGCACAAAGCTACTCAAATCTATTTGTTCTGTGCTCACCACAGATATCAAAACCAATTTTTAACATTATAAGCCTCCAGATTTACCACTAAACCACTGGGAAGCCTGAAATAAGTGTTACTCTAAACATTCATTACTTTGCCTAGATTGTCAACTAGCAAAAACTGCCAGTGTTCCTTTTTAGCTACTAGCTGGCTGAACAGTAGAACCAACTGACTTTATGCAATCTGGCCACTGTTAATTTGAAGCCCCAACCTTGCTCACTATTGAAAGAATATCAATGACCAGAATCAGGTGGGCATGACAAAAGGGCAGCATCATTCCAATAACCTAGTTTTTGAGGTTATCGTCATTGCCTTATCCACTGATGACAGTTGAGATTCCTCATAAATAACCTAAACATTTCTTCCAATTAACAATCTTCAGGAAACTTGATTCCAATTTCTATTTTATGTCAACTTCTTCATGAACTAAGCTCACTATCTTTCTCTCTCTCTGATGGAGTCCTTAAATGACACTCTTGTATTACTATGAACTAAACAGTGTCACTAATTCCACTAGTGTCTAGTATTTACTCTTGACAAGAAGTGAACTCAAAACGCATGGAAATATTAACTTGTTCTACACATAACTTGATTAGCCAGGTATTATTATCACAAAAAAAGAGACAATATATATTAAACACATGAAGAGAATGAGTGAAATCAGTGTTACCTAAAACTTTTAATGAATTCATATACAACATTTCAATTTCAGTATATGCACCTTAAACTAGAACAGCAAGCAAGCTAGGTGTGGGTAATATTGGCGAGATCTAAAACTAAAGGAATATCACACAGCTGCCAAGAACTATTTTACATAAACATGACTGAAGGCTTTAACATGACATATTATATACTGGACAGTCACAGCATTAGCACTACACCTGTACAAAATCAAACAATTAAAACATTGACAAATTTGGCTTGTAACTTTACAAACAGGCTTACCTCATGAACTGTTAATTTGACTAATCAACAAAAGCAAACCGTGCATATATACCATAGGGTTTTATATAACAGCAAATGAGACATTAAGCATTTCTTTACAATGGGCCAAAATGTACATGTATTTTCATGAAATTAAGCATCAGGGTTAGAAAAAATGTTAGTTACAAAATGCATTCTTACTTTTGCTCATAGTACTCCTCCAACTTGGAATAATCACTACCAAATCCATGCTTCTTCATGAAATCAGTTATATTGGGATTGCTTTTCCTGAAAGTTATTCAAGTTTTCATTAGTCATCACATATGTGCACAACAACAGTACAACCACACGGTGCACAGTAAGTATTTATTGACTGCATACAACCTTTTTCTCATCTGGATCAATGAATCTAATCAAGTGGCTTAAAAGTAAATCCTAAAAGGAAAACATGCTTATTATTTGGAAAAAAATCAATTTCGTCATATAAAGATCTGAGTTTGATACTTCAGAAAGATTTCTCGAATCTTAATGATAAATTACAAATATCTACATCTTACCAACAACTGAAATCAACCTCATCTCCACCTAAGTGAACATAGTTGTCAGGAAATACTTTAGTTATTTCACCAAAAAATTCAGCCAAGAAGTCATAAGAACTCTGCAAAATAGGGTTAATGGGTCCAAAATTTCCATTAGGCTTTCCTCCACTATAGCATGGTGTTAAGAGGTCAGGTTGTCCTTTTCCCCAAGACTGAGTATGTCCTGTTAGTAAAGGAAAAAAAGTAAAGAAACAAAATCAATACATGTTATAATTGTGTAAATTTTATCTTATTTTCACTTCTGTATTCATAACAGTTTAAACTATTTTACGAGTTTCTGTACATCTATTAACTATTGCTTTTAAACATGTTTACAAACATATTGTTGGTATCCCTGTGAATATTCTACTGATTTTTTTAATATATATATATACCTTCTTTTTTAACCTTTAAAACATTTAAGTTATTTTAATTTAACTTACTGATACACAATAATTTAATGAATATAATAAAAAGAATGTTAATAAATGGAAATTGAAAATATCACAATCTATAATAGTTACAAATGTATTACTTTGAAACAAAAGAAATATTTTTGATAAATGTCAGTATTTTTCTATCAAAATGTATGAACTTCCTTTAACTAACAGTAATGTTCCTTCATCTTCATGTAAACACTAGCCAAGTACCCAGTGTTGCTTGGATGAAAATGGCTTTAACTGATTTAGTTCTTTATTTACATGCTAATTTATTTGTCTACTGTAAATCTTAGAAGTTATGACATTGATATATGTGAATGTGTGTCTCTCTCTCTCTGTGGGTTTGTTCCTTATGCATATTTAAAGTTACAAACTCAGAGTACAGATACAACTTTGTGTTGGAAGTAACATGGGCTATGTAGTTGTGGCCTCAGAAGCCATTTTGAGGCTGCACATTGAAGCCAAAGTGACCAATATAGCAATTTTTTGGCAAACAGGATGACCAATTGGATTCAAATTGAAAAGGCTGATTTTTTTTAATAATGAGTGATCAAGAGAGCTTTTATAAATGAAAATAATATCTTCTTTGCTTCTGACAGCAAGACAAAAAAATTTGTACAAAGGTTATACAAATTTGGTAAAATCTGTAATAAACTGAAATATTTGGTATCTAATGTAGGTTTTTTTAATTATAAGACTATAAATACAACAGTCTACAAGAGCATGATTTACTGATTTTTAAAAAGAAAACCTAATATAAGATATTATAAAATGTTATTCAAATTTAAAAAGAATATCAGAAAATCTGTAATAGTAATTTTTTAAATATAAGTTACTTCCAAATTGTCTTCACCCTGATGAAAGTCTTCCTCAAAAGCATGTTCAGGGGGAAAGGGAGAAGAAACCAACAGCCGAACAAGTGTCCAATTCCCTTTAATTAAAGTTTGAAGTTCCTCGGCAGATACTGTCAACCTGACGCATTGGGGACTAGTGACATTACTATCTTCAATAATGGCGGGAACTTCATCATCCACCAAAGTAAAATTCGAAATCATGTTTCAAAGTATAATTCAACTTATATAAGAAACTTTCAAAAACAAAATTAAGATTTTGAAAGCAAAAACGAAAGTCAAAATGTTAAGTTTAAAACTGGTGAAAGACTGATAAGCAATCATAGACGAAATAGCAGGAGTCACAAGGAGAGTAAATTAAACACACATCAATACAAACTAATGCCAATAAAGAAAGCAAGGATTGTGCTAGAATAATAGAGGGAGCTACCTGCACTAGTATAGATGGCACAATATGATTGGTGGAGGGTAGTCATGATCAGCATATGTTCTTAAATGGCATGAAAATGAAGGGGTATAAAAGATTGGTATGCTGTTAGTGATAAAGTTTTTAGGAATGCTTAGAGGGCAAACCAAGGTCAAGATAGCTTTAAGTAAGAAAAAGTTTTAGAAGTACACTGAACATAACTAAAATTTTATATCATAAATAAAATATATGGTACATGTCACAAACATTTGAAACTTTAAGGTAATTTAAATTAAATTACAATTTTATAACCTTATTGCCAATAATCTATTCCAAACACACTTTTTCAGTAATGATAAGAGCTGAAATTTTATAACTACTGCTCGGTATTTGTAGGACACTTGTGTTCAGTACTGGTTGATGAAGATGAAAATGTTTGATACCTTCCTGCCAGTTTATCTCATTTCTTACACTTCTGTTTAATATTTATGGTAAAAGAAAAGAATATTCTATAATTTCATTGCTCAAGTAATAATTGCATACAGAACTTTTGTCCAGTGTTAGTCGAAAACAATCAGGATATTTGAATAAGTTGTATGATGAATTAATTAAGAAAGAAACAAATATTAATACATTTCAGTAACATATTTGTTTTTGATAAATTCAGAATGATTATTGCTATAAACAGAATATATATTTTTTGAAAATTATTTCTTCGTTATCACCATTTCAGTAGCATACTAGTTTAGTTCAAATATTAAAGCATCATTAATGCTAAAAAAAAGTATAGGTTTTCACAACAACTTTTTTTTGTTTTGTACTTCATAACCTTTAGTGTTCTACATGGAGATTAGTATCCATCAGCCAAAGAACACTTATCTTTCCAACATGGAAATGTTCTTCTACACACATTTCTCATTAATTACTGTCTTTTATTTAAGCTTACATGTATTATAAGTAAATGAAATGTTTAAAGTTTTTCCCTTCAAAACAATAAAAAAACAACAGAATTCTTAGCTTACAGGTAATCTATAGGTTGATTATAAATTAACCTTACAAAATATATAAACACCTGTAAGATTACCAAGATTCAAGTTACAAATAATTTACCTGGTGTGTCAAACTCAGCCATTACTCTGATTCCTCGAACTCTTGCATAATTGATAATATCAGCTACTTCTTCCTGGGAATATGTGTGTGTTTTGGGGATGAATGCTCCCTATTGAAAAATAAAATAAAGTGTATATACTCTACCAATAAAACTTTTCTTTAAAAATTATATATAAGATTTTGGTGCTTCAACAAGTATATCATTTAATTCACTTTTTCATAGTTTCTATTTTAGTTGGTAGCTTATTAAACAATGTGCTAAAGCCAAATTACATTCACATTTTTACACCTTCAATTTATTTTAACATGTTCTCACATACTTTCTATTTTATGAGTATGACTTTGTTAATGAAAAGAACTGACAGATTTGGAAAACAAAAAGATGAATTTAATATCGTTATAATAATACCATACTTTAGTACAGTAGAATTGATATTAAAACATACAATAAAATTTGGAAGATGTAATTAAGCAGGAACTCCATTATGCAGAACACACAGCTATACTAGAAGTTAATTATCATTACAGCAGTAAACCATGACAGTCCTTTCCTACTTATAACTCCCTAAATTCAAGTTAAAGGTGATGAATGTTCTCTTGAACCATATGTTGTTACAACTGTCCAAGTCAGGACACAATGTGTTTAAAACATTATCATATATTATAATAAGTGTATAATAAAAATTAAGCTTTAGAATTAAGTGTAATGAAAGTATGCTAGCTTTTCCTTACTAAAAAAAAAATACTGTTTTCATTAGTGAATTTTAAATACCAGCCCTTTAATTCAACCCGATTTAATTCCCGATTGCTCAGATAAAATAGGCTAACTTGACTGTTTTACATTTAAAAAAATCACTAATACAGTGTAAGCGATGATTCATTTTACTGTATGTTATTTATTTTATGCTAATTTTTTTACATGTATAAACATACACGAAGAAATAAATCACAATCTTTTACACGTACAAAGATACATAAAGAAATAAATCACAAAATCTTTTACACGTACAAAGATACATAAAGAAATAAATCACAAAATCTTTTACACGTACAAAGATACATAAAGAAATAAATCACAAAATCTTTTACACGTACAAAGATACATAAAGAAATAAATCACAAAATCTTTTACACGTACAAAGATACATAAAGAAATAAATCACAAAATCTTTTACACGTACAAAGATACATAAAGAAATAAATCACAAAATCTTTTACACATACAAAGATACATAAAGAAATAAATCACAGAATTTTTAACATGTGCAAATAAACACAAAGAAATAAGTCACAGATAAAAATATCCTTACCATTTCACTGAGTTTAGGAAACTTCAAGCTTTCATAAGGAAAAGATTGATCATCTACTATATGCCAGTGGAAAACATTCAGTTTGCTATATGCCATTGCATCCTGTTGAAAATTACATATAGATTAGGTGTCTATTAATCTCAGTCCATGTAAGTAAAACTGATTTAGAGCTATTAAAATGAAAAGCTACAATACATGGGTGCTTACACTCATTTCTCTAAAATGTACACTTCAATTATATTGTTGTAGCATATGTATTACCAGAAATTTGTATTGTTGTTTAGCCAGAAGGGAGTTTAACATAATGTGATGAGTGTGGTCTTAATGTGCAAAACCTTCATGAAAGTTTAAAAAACAGTTTGAGTTAAATATAAAAGTGAGTTAAGCCAGATTGCATAATTGAGTTTGTTAATAAATCAATAAGTAACCAGTGGATGAATTAGTTTGTCTGTTACTGTTAGCCAGCAAAGTAGTTCAGTTTTCTAAACACTGTGTTCATGAAGAAACAGAGAAACAAATTTAGCAAGTGGTTATAATTATTAGTTTTTTATTGCTACTTCTTTAAAAATTGAAAGGGAAATGCCATTTCTCATTCATTTAATAAATGTAATTTATAACCTTAGATATCTTAGATTTTACTATACTGTTCATATGTGATGATTATGTGGGCTGAATTGCTAACTTCAAAGAAAAAGGTTTATTTGTAACTCCCATTGGACCATTAGTAGTAACCTGGTTAGTTATTATAATTCCTTTTTAATAGTAGTAACTACTTTCCTACAGCAGGATGCAGACTGTGAATGTCTGTTTGAGATGTAGAATACTATAGGTTTTAGCACCCATGTCTATGTATAGGCTAGCCTACTAAGCTTTAGGCTTCAGCCATATAGCAGTATTTGCCTAGGGGTGGAAGATGGTGAGTGGGGGGGGGATGAATTAAAAATATATTTTGGTATCTAAGAATTGTGTAGATTGGTGCTTATCATTTTTTTATTTCATTCTCCATTATTCCAATACTCTGGTGTAATATGATGTTGCAAGTATATTCCAAGTTGGTGCTGGAAGAATTACATCTTGAAAGTCTGTCTGAATAGTGTTTTAAGTTTCCACTACATTAGTACAATCACAAGTGAGAAACTATAGCAATATGCACATGCAGCCATGTCAGCAATATGTTACAATATGGTGCTATAGAGAATGGTATGAAGTACATGTTGATGAATTGTTAACAATCACTTATCACAAGCGTATCACATTATAATGGCACAGTCATGTCCTTGTAGCGTCTTCAAGTATGTTAGTGCAATTAGAACTATGGAAGTTTTGATATTTCTGTAGTGTGTTCTACATCGATACAAACTTATTAAAGGACTTACATAACTTTCAATTTCTTTTTAGTTTTCTTATTCAATATGAATAATGTGTCAAAATAATTGGGCTCATTCTTCTTAATATTATATATCGCAGTAGTATTTAGTAAGTAGATTGAATAATATAGGTGCTGGGCTAAGGATACTTCTAGTGTAAGTGTCCGTGACTTGTTGCCAATAAATAAAAAAATAAACATACAGTACGCACTCCACTTGTTTTAAAAATAATATACAGGGTGGGCCAAAAGTAGGGTTACAGTTACTCTATTATTTGTTTCTCCTTCACAATCACGTTTTAAATATGCATGTAAATCATAGAAAATAATGCTGAAACCTTATTTTGTACTACTTACTCATGTTTTAAAAACGTTATACATTTTATAAATTTCCTGATATGACAAAATTTAGGCCTCGTGGGATCGATTACATGTCAAGGAAACGCTTGGCTCAAAAATGACTGTTGCTTCAACAGTAAAATATGATGTAATTAGAATGATTCAGTTATTATCTCAACATAAATCAGACTGCATACTTTGTATCATAGCTTAAACAATTGGTGAGTATTTATAAAATCTGTAATATTATAGGAAGTTAAAGTTTAGTTGAAATTAACAACACAGTCACCAGGAACTACTTACATTTGGAGTCAAAAACTAAAGGGAATTTAGCGCCATCTTGTGTATTCCAGTTTCGTATGCAAAATTAATTGGAATGGTGTTTGAATAAAACAATATATTAAACTCGTTTTCGGTCGGCGAGTGTCATTGATGTATTTATTTCTTGTCAAGAGGGAGCGGGGAAGGAGGGTAGAGGTTTGTTTGTTTGAAGTGAAGCACAAAGCAGCTATTTTGCTCTGCCTACCACGGGTATCGAAACCAGGATTCTAGTGTTGTAAGTCCACTGGGGGGAATTGCGTAGAGGAAGAATAATATTTTAAAATCAAATTAAAGCAAGCTTTAAAAATAACATGTCTTTTATTAATATTACAAATCATTACTCAGAAATAAAGACCCTTAATTTCGTCCAGGTTGGATTCCAATAAAGTGGATACCATCCACGTAACAATACCATAATGGAACAATAACTTACTGATTCAAATATTTGAAACAATTAATTTGACGAATTTCTTCTTTAATAAGGTCTTGCATAGCCTGGTTGTTAGGGCTCTCGACTCGCAAACTGCAGGTCTCGGGTTCGACTCTCATCACCGAACATGCTTGCCCTTTCAGCTGTGGGGGTATTGTAGTAATACGATCCAGCCCACTATTCGTTGGGAAAGTAATATCCCAAGAGTTGGTGGCGGGTAGTGTTGATTAGCTGTGTTCCCTCTAGTGTATCACTGCTAAATTAGGGACGGCTAGCGCAGATAGCCTTCGAGTAGCTTTAAGCGAAATTCACCAAAAAAAACAACACACAACAACAACACACCAGGTTGTATATTACACCTGTCTGTTCCAAACGAAGATTTGTACAGTAAAATATCAGTAGGAATACTGATTCCACCAATCTTTCTTCCCATATAATAATAATTTGATATCAAAGGATTCTTCTTTCTGTCCCGAATTAAAGTACTTATTGTGTCTTCTGGTCCTTATCAAGCTTCACTGTAAACAGAGATGTGTGATAGAGGACACGTTGTACGTTTATCAGCCACTGCACGCGTAGTTGGTTACTGCTGTACACGGAGAAAGGTTTCACATTATCCAACAAATATACAGGGTGGGCCAAAAGTAGGGTTACAGATAACACTTAAACATTTTTCCTTTATTAGAAATTTGTCCACTAACACAAGTTGCTGTAACATAACTTGAAATATTAGATTGTTCACTAACACAAGCTGTTGTAACATAACTTGAAATATAAGATTGTTCACTAACACAAGTTCTTGTAACATCATTTGAAATATAAGATTGTCCACTAACACAAGTTGCTGTAACATAACTTGAAATATTAGATTGTTCACTAACACAAGCTGTTGTAACATAACTTGAAATATAAGATTGTTCACTAACACAAGTTCTTGTAACATCACTTGAAATATTAGATTGTTCACTAACACAAGTTCTTGTAACATAACTTGAAATGTAAGATTGTTCACTAACACAAGTTGTTGTAACATAACTTGAAATATAAGATTGTTCACTAACACAAGTTGTTGTAACATAACTTGAAATATAAGATTGTTCACTAACACAAGTTGTTGTAACATAACTTGAAATATTAGATTGTTCACTGACACAAGTTCTTGTAACATGACTTGAAATACTAGATTGTCCACTAACACAAGTTGTTGTAACATAACTTGAAATGTAAGATTGTTCACTAACACAAGTTGTTTTAACATAACTTGAAATATAAGATTGTTCACTAACACAAGTTGTTGTAACATAACTTGTTCTGAAACATGTTATATTTTATTTTACGTTTATTTTCACATTTATCTCTGATTAAATCACTTAAAATATTTTCCCCATAAACAAAGTGTTTGCAATCTTATATTTCAAGTATGTTACAAGAACTTGTGTTAGTGAACAATCTTATATTTCAAGTTATGTTACAACAGCTTGTGTTAGTGAACAATCTTATATTTTAAGTTATGTTACAACAACTTGTGTTAGTGAACAATCTTATATTTCAAGTTATGTTACAACAGCTTGTGTTAGTGAACAATCTTATATTTTAAGTTATGTTACAACAACTTGTGTTAGTGAACAATCTTATATTTCAAGTTATGTTACAACAGCTTGTGTTAGTGAACAATCTAATATTTCAAGTTATGTTACAAGAACTTGTGTTAGTGAACAATCTTATATTTCAAGTTATGTTACAACAGCTTGTGTTAGTGGACAATCTTATATTTCAAGTCATGTTACAACAATTTGTGTTAGTGAACAATCTTATATTTCAAGTTATGTTAC